AACTAAAGGTTTACACTGAAATTTGGGCTGTTACAGACCAATTAATTTTCGCCCCCCCCCCCACAATGTTGTTTGAGGATCTTGGCTTTAGTTGCCTATACAGCGCCTCCATTTCTCTCTCCTCTTGCACAATGCTTCAGCATTGCGGCTCTATTTTCGGTATCGGCCGGTTTTATGCTCCAAATGACTGGTAAACGCTGGGTCTTCCAGAAGCTTCGACGCTATCTAGTCTCGACATCGAAAACGTCGTTAAATAGCCAAAATAAAAAGAAAACTTTCACCACGCGTTTAGCGACTTTTCCGGATTCATGTTGGGCATGCGTATTTGTGAATTCATTTTGCGTCTGCGCAGCGGACTGCGTTCCTGTTGGCTCACTAGACTCATTCTGGTTCTCATTATGAGCAGTGCCCCTACGTCACTTTAACTGGCCCTCCCACGAAGGGGTTATTAGTTTTAATTAGTTTCTTGAGGTGGGGTGAGACTGAGTCCACTTGGTACTGCGGTCACTGTTCGGCCTATTGTACCAGCCCCAGATGGTAGATGATGATTGTGGAGCGGTCGGTGAAATGAGAATTGACAAGGGAAACCGAAGTACTAGGAGAAAATATGTCCCAGTGCCATTTTGTTCATAAATCTCACATGACCTGACTTGGGCTCGAACCCGTACCGCCGCGGTGGGAAGGAGGCGACTAACCGCCTGAGCTATGCCACGGCCACGAAGGGGTTATTTTATAGTGGTCTGGAGGAAGGGGAGGGTGAACGTGTGGGCAATTTTAACAGCCTGAAGCTGGAGCCACACGAGCGCACAAAATGCGTCCGTTGTAACGATCGTCGTGACGTCCGTTGTAGAAATAAACAGTAGAGGCGAATGCTACGCTTTCTTCTCGCTCCATTGCAGACAAAAAACTACGCATCGCATTCAGCAACTGTGTGGTGTCCTCAGCAACGTCCGTCATAAAGTACGTTCGTTACAACGGACGCATTTTGTGCGCTCGTGTGGCCCCAGCCTAAGGACTACTGATTAAAACTGTTTAAATGATTTAGTGGCACTAATCATTAGACAGGTACAATTAACTACCTTCTTGTAAGCACGCTCACAATCGGAGCAGCTATTAAATTCGATCCGTCCTACACTCTGTGGGCATGAAAGAACTCAGAACTCCTGAATGAATTTCCATGAAACCTATTATTGGGGAGTTTCTATAAAATGTGTCGACATGATTCACTTTTGGTTAGCATTAGACAGAGGAGCTATTTCAAGGACATAGCGGCTCCGGTCTAGAAAACCGAAATTAACGAGCCGTGGGGATTCACTGCGCTGACCAAGCGAAACCCTCTATCCGCTAACGTTAGCACTAACTTCGCCGACAAACGACGATCGCTCGCTCTGTCGGTATAGTTCGCTTGCTTACTAAAGCCACTGAGTTTTTTGTTTTATTAGACAGATAGAGCAGACCCTTTACCTCAAGACCTACATTCGTGTATGTGCATATCTCGTTAAATATTCCAATGACATGTGTTTGGAATACAAGCTGTAGTAAAAAATGAAACATATTTTTGGTCCAATGCCTATTTCGGTGAGTCTTATCGGTTTTCGAGTCAATTAAAAGATATTCCTTGCATACATTTCTTCGAAATTGGTTCAAAGAGTGCTATATTCTGGGACGTGACGCCGTGTAGTCCTGTAGAAGTCCACGGCCTTTCGGAGAAACATGATGCCTACATTTTTAGGCCCAAGAGTATGACAAACAGGAAGCAGGTGACAAGCACAGCTTTGCTTTGATTGACGCCTGCGTCTTGCTAGTTTCTTGCTACTTTGGTTGCTATGACCTTCCGCCGTTTCTTGAGTCAAAATGTTGCGACAGTATCATAAATAAATCTCGACTACTTCCTTCCGAACTCGATATTCGTAACTGTCCCGCTGCTGAACACTACTATTTAACACATATTATTGACAAAGCAACTTTAAATAAAGAACTATGCAGACTTACCTAAACAGACAAAAATGTTTGAATTATTCGGTTAATTAACGACACTATGCACTTTATTGTATGTAGAATTGGACTGGAAGATTTTCACAAGTAGCGAGTAAGTAAGGGTTTATAGATGGGCAGTTGTGCATCTGAAAGCACTATCCCGATAATATCCAGTACAGACTGAGCAAAACCTTGATAAACCTAAGTCAGGGCAGCTAAGATTCGAATGGGACATCTCATGAATACAATTATAAAGCGTTTCACGATATACTATATGTCTTGGGGCTTGCCCAAGTCTACAAGGGTAGCCATCACGACAAGGAACGTAATAGATCCAACATCAGAGGACGCCGAAGAACAACAAGACCTTCAAAAGTGAAAGTGCAGTCAATGTGATGAGTTGAAGTTTATTTCATGAACTTTTTAACCAAGTGGTAATAACTAGCTACAGTGAACTAAATTTTAAATTTTAACTTTTAACATTTGTATTTTTAACTTATATTTTATAAGAAGAACTTGACACATATTATTTGAGCGTGGACCTGAACAGGATACAGGATCAAAAATAAGTGGAAAAACGAATGTGATTGGGTGTGATTGTGCAACTGTGTTCGTACACCTGAGGATGACCTCTTGAGGTCGAAACATGTAGTGTGACAGTAAATAAAAAACGTGTTGTGTGGACGGTAAAATTAACTCTAATATTCTACAAGGGTAGGCCGATCTTCATCAAATCAGCTACAGCATATACGCCAAATTTAATTTATTTGTGCTACTCACACGTACATGGGTCCAAAATGGTTAACTGCCTTAACGACCTGAAATTTTGGAAAACTGTAAAATTAACAACAGGAAAGACGTGCGTGAAATGTACTTTGTGTAAATACAGATGTGCCTAGCTGGCGAAACGTCAGATATGTGATTAGTTAGGAAGTCTCACAAGGAACTCGAGAAAGAACAGAGCATCATTTCCAAAATGGATCAATTCACGAACTGTTTCCTTGAAGGATAGAATACGTCAGCTTATATGCTACATTCCAGTTCTTGCAGCATGAGTTTCTGCCTTACAGGTACGTGTTTCTTTGTCTTTCCATGTGGTCACTAGAAACTAGAAATCCCAACGCAGTTAAACATTTACAGATTTCACAAATCATCATCAAACATTCTGAAAGAAATGGCAACTAGTGCATGTAACTTAACTAGGTAAATGGAACAGAAAACGTAAGCTTTTTAAAACAAGCAAAATCTCAAAATACATGTCGTTTTTGTGTGAGTTCGCCTTAGAATACAGAGTGACCAAAAAACAGTCAAATGCTTACTAAACGGTACACTAAAACACGTTAGAAATTTCTTTATTATTTACTGAATTACAAGAATTGTTCGAAATGAGATTCTCCATGTTCAAATCACAACGCCGTGATACTGTTCTGCAATTGACTAGCAGGTTTAAATCTGTAATACTTGCATACAAAAATATCCATCATTACGCCAGTTTTAGACAAATACCTTGAAGGACTTGGCATGCGCGCGCCCGCCCACACGCACACCCGAGAGGAACACAAGAAACACAGCGTGGTACGGAGGCACAGTCTTCAAACTCAGACTACACGGCCAATAAAATGCTGAAGGGTGGACACTCGCGCAGGAAGGAAAGTTGGAAATGTTGCAGAGGTGATGGGGTGAGACCTACTCAGAAGTGTGCAAAATACAGCCATCGAATGAATTCAAACCCGCTCGAATGTTCAGACATCATTAACAACGCGGCCAGTATTTTCTCATACATACTGCACAGAAATGAATCGACAGTGATTATGACGATAATGACAATGACGACGATCATAATGTGTATACTTATTCTGACGGCTATTAACGTTTTGGGTTCCCTTCCATGTATCTGATTTCTTTCGTTCACAGTGCCTGGAACTAGATATGAGGACGTGGTGGAGTGGATGACACTTCTGATTCCATTTATTGCATCCCTTAACTTGATAAAAATATGGTTTAGGATGTCTTGTCCATTGGACATGACTCAGTCACAAGCCTGTACTTATTGAACATATGCATTTATTGCAGATTATGTATAATAAATGTGTGAAAAAAATAACACTGTAACATGATACGTGAAAGGCGGAATAGTGCAGCTAGAAGAAATTGTCACTGCTAGGCAATGGCTCGGTAAACATCTGTTCGCGGCAACGGATACACACGAGACAACAGAAGAACTGTTGGAAGCGGTGTTATCTGTGCGGTACGTGCCGAGGCTATATACCGATCCCGACTCGAAATTACCCTACCTTTCGCGTGACTAGACTGCTGTTGTAGCAGGAGCTCTACTGAGCCTGGAATGACAGAGACCTTGTATATGTTGCATATACATATATTTAATAACATGTGAAACGTAAAATTGCACATACTGACAACATACTCATGCTGCTGTGACTCTCACAAACGACACACCCGTCCTCTCGTCAGAGAGAGCGCCCCACAACAAACCTGCAACTGTCTGACTGTAATAAAGATCTGGTCTTAAGCCCTAGATAGTTGCTTTATTCCAAGACAGACTGGCCGACTGACCGTCGGTCGTAACATAACTTTGATTTTGATTACCCTACCTACCTACCTACTCACTTATCTACCGCCACATTTTTTGGCAGTCATGAGAAAGAAAAACATGGCCGTGAGTTCCTCGGGACGCAGAACCAGACCAGCTGAAATTTACCCGAAGCCGAATTACCATTCCCACATGAGTTCGTATTCGGAACCTTACTGGTTGGGTTGTTTACGCCATACTACTGCTACGTCTGCCGCTTTTGTGCCTTATATGTATCAAGGAACGGTACTTCTGAGTGTCACGTGTACTCGAAAACAGTATAATCTAATGAATCATATACACTTACTGAACTTTGTACAAGTAATCAACCTTATGACGCTAACCTTCTACACCAGTGATGTTGGACCAGGAATAGGTCTTTGTTGTGCTGTGACGTCACACTGGTATAATAAATAAAGCGCGCGGCAAGCTGGTGCCGAGCACAGTTCAACTCAGAAAGCGGGAGCGATAGAAATGCGTAGAGACTTCACACGTTTTACTCTACAAGCATATAACTTATTTTCAAGTTATCATCCTCACTGGACACATTGTTGTTTAGTGACTCTAATGTTGAGTTACTATTATACAGGCTATTCTGTAAATTAACATTTTTTACTCTAATTAAATTCACTAACAAACTACGAGCTTGTTGAATGGCGATAGTGTCGTATAAATACGTAAACGTTATCATTAAACCTATCTGTGATACAAGAACCAAGTCTTCGCTTTCCTAGTTTTTACCGTATACTGACATCTGTCAACATGAAGAGGTATGTATAAAGTTATATGTTTTTATTATTAGTTCGCAGCAGGAAAATTGGGTCCAACAAATCGAGTTTGTGAATGTTTCGTTCGCGAATAATTTGCTTCATTAGGCCTAGAAGTTAATAAGTGTTGTTAACAACTTAGCGTCTGTCGTGCTGTATTTTACAGAATTTTTAGAACTTTAGTTCCTTGTCTACTTCATTCTGAAAAATGTGTACTTAAAAACGAGGAGGGTGCCGTCGGTTGCGCAAGTTACCCAAAACTTTGTTTCTGTTTTCATTTTCCTTTTCGATTGAATATTTCTGGGAGATTTCCTTTTCGATTGAATATTTCTGGGAGATTTTGCACAGTACGCGAGTGTGAATCAATATATACGTAATACTCCACTACAGACGATGGATTTCACCGAAGTTTTGTATTTAGACTTCGTGCTAACATTTATTCAGTTTCCCATTACAACAGCACAACATGACTTCTATTTTACGAGGATGTAAAGACGTTTCGAGACGTGCACCAATAAATGTAGAGTTGGCTGAAAAATATCGCATGCCTAAAGTCGTGGAAGATGATTATATTATCTTGTAGGCTTATATTTTTCACGAAAAGCCAATTTTTCAAATACCAAAGTGGATTTCATTATTATTTGCATAGGAAACTATCTTTCGTGCTCTTATTGCTTACAGTTTTTCCGTTTGTTTAATTCAGGCCAATAATTTTGATTAGACAGTTCAATAACATATTTAAAATCGTATGAGAATTTAAAAGAGATTTTGAATCATATTTCGTCGTGGCTCTGAGTTCTGTATGCGTCTGTTTTTTGTTGTTGTTGTTGTTGTTGTTGTTGTTGGACAAACAAAATTTTGGGGCAAAAATGTAATTTCGTTCTGAAATTTGTTTTATTCTTCCACCGAATGCATCTATTATTCGCACCATAGTACACATAGACCTTTGCCACTTCACTCATTAGATGATTTGCAATAAATTTTACTTTAAGTATGTTTTCATTTCTTGTGTAATTGCAGCACAAGTGTGGCAGTTGATGTGGAGAGTAAGGCTCTTGTGGAGAGTGAACATGAAAAAAATGCCACCATTGTTGAAGTGAGACGCCCAGGCTTCAACAATGAAGCAAAACTGGATAGGGGTAGTGCCCTCAGACAGGTAAGGACATGTAAGATTTGAGGTTTTCACGGCGGTGACTATAAAANTGCTGCAAGGCACAGGAATGTTGATGCATTACAGAAGTGAGATGAACTGCACATGTATATGCATTATTTAACTTAGTGTGGCAGGTTGAAATTTAAATAGAAATTTAGCTTTGCTCAAAGGCATCAGAATTTTAGGAGTTCAGCTGCAACTAGCTGTCACCTAGCGAATGGAGGCTTAGTAGAGGAAAGGGGATTTATCTTTCATTACCCTTTCTAGTAAATAACTATGATATTCATCAGATGAGGCTGGAAAAATCACCCCTGCCAGCTGATCATAAATGGCCACCGAGTGAAAGTCAGCATGATAATTCATGCTTCACATTATCTGCCGGTTGAAAATTGCTGATACTATAGTTCTGTGCTTTGTCCCTATTTAAACACTACAGCATGAAGGCATATGGGGAAGTGGTTTCCTTGACTAGATGGAGGTTAATGGTCAGCTTCACGCCCAGGCTGCTTTACCCCGGGGGAAAGGCCCCCTGGTAACCGTTGGGTAGGAGACCGGGTGGACCCCAGAGCCGGTCTGGACTATATGGAGAGTCAAACATAAAATATGCTGTGGCCATGAAAATCATGCTAGAAGTGTTACATGCAATGTGACGTATGTAACATGCATTAGATTCAAGGCATGAAGATATTTACTTGTATGTCTGAATAATTCAAAATAAATTGTACAGTAAGAAACTGGAGGGGCAACACAACAGAATTTGTTCCTGCATCTATGCATAGTTTATATGACTAAGGAAAAAGTTGGATATTGTCTTAAAGGTTTAGATATTTTTAAGCCGAAAGCAATGTTTTGGTTGGGTACACATCAATTAGCCTATTCTACATTTTTGAAGCATAAAATGGACGTTATCTTAAGAAAGTAAAACTCAAACAAGTGAAGGCAGAACTGAGGTAAAATCATACCTTTAAAAATTACCCATACAGTATAAGGTAAGAATGTAATTACCATATAAATTTGAACATAAGATGCGCATTTTACACACATTTTCCCGCTGAAAAACTGAGGTGCATCCTAAATTCGAGGGCAACTTATATTTGAAGTAATATGATATTTTATTTGGATGATTTACGAACAGAAGGGTTGATATGTATCTCTCTGTATCCTAACATAATAGAAACAGAATCTGTGTGGTTAAGTAACCCCCACTACTGCCACGGTTTAAGATGTACACGGTGTGTCCAGGATCCGTTAGGACTATTTTTTTTTTTTTGCCCTGCAATGCCATCTGTTGGCGAGTTGTGACGTTAAGTTTCTTGAAGTTTCAGCTGTGGCTGTCTATAATTTCAAAGCGCAAGCATCCCTGCATCATGTGTTCTGACTTTGAATGTAAAAGTACTGTTCTAACGCTCGTCGGAAAATGGCGGTTGAACAGGGAGCCAACAGCAAATTTTGTTTGAAGTTAGGCAAAACAGCCGGAGAAGCGTATGAAATGATGAAAGGTGTGTACGGTAGTGATTGTTTGAGCCGCTCGAACATTTTTCGATGGTATGCTGTATTTCATGACGGCAGGGAGGACCTTCAAGACGCTCCACGTGCATCAAAGCTGAGAACAAGTCGCACTGAAGAAAATGTGAAAAAAGTGACCGAAATCCTTGCATCAGACAGATGTGTTTCTGCAAGACTCAGAAAGGAGCTTTTGGGAATACCAAAAAGTACTGTGCATCAAATTTTGACCGAGGATTTGGGCAAACGGAAGGTCTGTGCGCGGTTTCTACCGCACACGCTGTCAGACGATGAAAAACGTGCCAGAGTGGAACACTGCAAAGACATGCTACGGTCGGCCCAAAGTGATACAAGATTTACAAAATCGATTGTTACCGGTGACGAGACATGGTGTTTTCAATATGAGCCTCTCATCAAGCGGCAGTGTGCAGCGTGGTTGAGCCCAAAGAAGCCGAAACCAAAGAAAGTGCGCATGCAAAAGAGTCGAGTAAAGACACTCCTAACCGCTTTCTTCGATTCCAAAGGAATCATTCACAAGGAATTTCTGCCAGAAGGACAAACAGTGAATTCTGATTATTATCTCGGAGCCCTCAATCGTTTGTGGGCGAGAATTCTTCGAATTCGATCTGAATATTGAGAGCAAGGTTCCTGGTCGCTCCTCCACGACAATACCCCACCCCACAAATCGAAGATCGTGCGTGATATTTTTGGCCAGAAAAGGGATCACAGTCCTTGATGATCCTCCATATTCGCCAGATTTGGCTCCAGCAGATTTCTGGTTGTTCCCAAAAGTTAAGTTGGCGATGAAAGGAGACCGTCACGACACCATCCAGGACATCCACAGGGAATCTACCGCAGTTTTAAATGCGATTCCACAAAAGGAGTACAGTGATTGTTTTCGAAAACTTTTCAATCGATTCCAGATATGTATTGATTCAGAAGGATATTCTTTTGAATAAAAAGAGTGAAATTTGAAAATAATTCACGTCTTGTATTTTTAATGAACACAGTCCTAACAGAACCTGGACACACTGTGTATGTCCAGTCCTCCATACCTATTATTAGAACATAGCTGAAGCACAGACACAACTTTACCTTACAAAAGTGCAACAGTACGCATGTAAGTCAAATCTTTAGTTGCTAGCTTCCCACCGCAGCGGCCCGGGTTCGATCCAGGATTTGGCCAAGTGGGATTTGTGGTGGACAAAGTGGTGCCGGGGCAGGTTTTCTCCAAGTACTTCGGTTTCCCCTGCCAATCTTCATTCCACCAATTGCTCCACAATCACCCTCACGTACCATATGGGGCTGGTACAATAGGCCAGAAGTGGCTGCAGTACAAGGGACTTAGTCCCACCTCATTAGCATAAAAAAAAAGTAAAATCTTGCAAACACTTCATACAGTGATTGCTGTATAATTGCAGAAACGTAAAACTGTGCATATAGGAACAAGGAATTATAAGCATCAACTCCTAATGCTTTATTTACAAAGAGGATTTTCTTCCTGAATAATATACACCGAATGCAGTGACCTCTTGCTTCATATTCAAGGAAGTGAAAATTTATATCTCTGCCTGCAGACTATCCACCAACAGTCTCCTCGACTGTTCCAGCCAGATGCTGGGAGAGTGAAATAGACCATTATACCACCCTCAGATGATGGATGAGGGAAATGGAGCATTTGGTAGAATGAGAATTGGCAGGGGAAGCCGAAGTACTCAGAGAAAATCTGCCCCATGGCCACTCTTACTTATTTACTTAGATATGGAACTGAGCCCTTCTTGAGGAGAAGCCAACTCTGCAGATACTCAAGAATTTCCCAGCATTTTATGGAACCCGCAGGTTCATTACCGTGTTCACAAGAGCCCTCCACTGGTCCCTATCCTGAGCCAGATCAATCCAATCCATACCATCCCATCCTATCTCTATAAGATCCATTTTAATATTGTTCACCCACCTACGCCTTGGTCTTCATAGTGGTCTCCTTCCTTCGGGCTTTCCCACCAATATCCTATATACATTCATCTCCCCCATTCGTGCTGCATGCCCTGCCCACCTCATCCCCCTTGACTTGATCATTCTAATTATACTTGGAGAAGAGTACCACATTGCCACTCTATCCATCACAAATCCCACACAAACTGACCTGGGACTGAACTAGGTTCCCATGTTGACAAGAAGGTGAATAATAGCCTGGGCTGTGACATGGCCAAATTAATGGGTGCTATTTGGTTTTAATTGGTTCTTTAAAAGATAAACGAGAATCACTGTCAGTTTTGTGTACACTATATATTGTTTATCTGATATGACATGGACTGCACAGAAAACATTGTAAGCAAGTTATATTGCTGCCTGTATATTCGTTGCAGCAGGAATGTGTTTATTGAGCCACTGCCTAGTAATGGTCATCTCTTCTGGCTTCGCTATTGTTAGGGAGACATATCAGGCAAAGAGAGCAAGATGATCTCATAAGCCTCCTTTCAGTTTTTAAAAAAATAAGGAAGTTAGGCTAAAAATGTACTTATCTTGTCAGAATTATTGGGTTTTTGTGTTTTGTCCATCATCTGGTATTATAAAAACTACAGAACACGTTTTGAAAACTGAATCTGTTTCCATCCTCAGGTGAGGGGGGGTGAGGGGGGGACATATTCTGTTGGGTCCCTTAGAAGAAGCTAATCTCAATCACAGGACCATCGGCAGAACCCTTGAGGAAATTATCTTCTGCCTGTTTCAGGTAATTGCAGCATTTGTGGCAAACTTGGGTACAATCAACACAGGTCTAGTGTTCGGATTCTCTGCAGTTGCAATTCCTCAACTCGAAGAAGCAGACAGCTTCATTAAAATTGATGAAGAGCAAGCTTCTTGGATAGGTAAGTACACAGATCAGGTACATTCATCGTATGACCTTCAAATGATGAGCACATATTTGTATATGCTACCTAACTTTATGAGGAATATTATGTATACCTATGCATCTCAACTTACTGGAGCAGACTGTATGAATGTAGGCACTATACAGTCATTTAAGAACAGGTTTTTGAAAGTATATGAAACTTGTAAAAATTTTCAGATGATTCTGGTAACAGTTGAGAAGCAACCAGGAAAATTATGAACATGTTATTTTGAAAGTGAGTCATACACAGCTATTACCCCTCTTCTTTTATATTTTATGGAATAGTGTTTAGTAGGAATGTATGTACAATGATTACACTGTACAAAACAAATGCTGTTAGGGAACTATAGGAGTATGATATGAACTAAAATACAATATTACTTATTTTTCAGCAAGTCTTTCATCTGTGTCAACTCCAATTGGCTGTATTCTGAGTGGCTACCTCATGGATCTTATTGGACGAAAGCGTACACTCATCATGACAGAAATTCCTCTCATAATTGGCTGGTTATTAATCTCGACTTCCAGTACTGTTGAAATGATATATGTTGGGAGGCTGTTAGTTGGACTTGGATCTGGCATGGTCGGTGCCCCTGCTAGGGTATATACAGGAGAAGGTATGTGAACTATCTTTACAGTACTAAAAAACCCATAGAGTGCATTTTTAAAACAATTTGGCCCAATCTTCACCCACAGACTATCTTGTAGTCCATTGTTTTTTAAACATTAACTGAAATTAGAGTGTAAATTAAAATTACTTTATAAGTCTGAAAGTTGTCCCTGTGCTTAATTAAGCACCACGCCATGAGACATATGGAGGAGCTGAGGTGCACCTCCACCTTTCTTAGGACTACATGGGGGTAAGTGGTCAGCTTCACATCCCAGATGCTTTAACCCCGGGAAAGAGCCCCTTAGATAGGAGGCTGGATGGCCCCAGAGCTCCTCTGGATACTGGAATAGAGAAGAATTCCTTTCTCTGCTGGGAATCGAACCCCGGCAATCCAGACCATAGCCCATCACTATATTGGATGTTTGTTTAATATTTCGTTAAAACATTTCATATGAATTAAATCTCCTAAATTTGAATTTATCTAAATATTGGTACCTTCATCACATACTTTTAGGTTCAACAGTTATAATCAGTCTAAAAGAGAGCAATATCGCCATAAACTGGTTATACAAGAAGCCAAAATTTCAGTGCCAGAAACTGTATTCTCTGTAATTAGTTCTAACGCTGTTAATTCCTTGCTGGTATCAGCAGCCATATGATCCAAATGGTTTCTTTAAAGAAACTATACTGCTATTTGTCCCTAGCTATGGAACTTTGCAAGAACATGTCCATGGTTTGTGTTCAGTGACCCAACCTCACCTGCGTGGAATGCTGTCCGCTTTGGCATCTGTTGGGGTATCGCTTGGGGTAACCATCGAGTATGCGCTGGGAGCCATTGTGACATGGACAGTGCTTGCTGGTATCAGTGCTGCAATACCCATTTTGGCACTTATCCTCATTGTATTCATGCCTGAGACCCCAAACTGGCTCTTGAATCATGGACGCACAGAAGAAGCAAGGGAGGCACTGAAAAAATTCAGGTAATAAAAACAAGTGTCATGGCTTCCATATATATTATGGCATTATGAACCAATGAATAAGTTAATAAAATCTGTTGAGTCATTAAAGTATAACTGCCTTATCCATCTTTCTTGTTTACTAGTTACTCAGTCTATATAATTTAAATAGCTCAACCATGCTATTTTGTTTAATTTAAACTAAAATCATTATATTAGAATATTATAAAATAGTGGAAAATGTGTATGTCATGTATATACCTATGACTTAATTTTTTGTGAGACATGGAATGCCTGTGGACAGATACTGAATTTATTAGAGGCAAACAAATAACCTTCACTACTGACACCAGTTTCGATAATTTCATTACCAAACTTTTATTTACAAGTAAATTTTGTAGGAAAATTTCCTTTCTCTTGTCATCTGTGACACCTGTGGGATCTCAAACCACCTCCCCATTTAAATACAGTCCACTGTGTGTTAGTATTAGCTATAACTTTTAAGTGCATTCTGTTTCAAACATTTAAGATAATGCATAAAACTGATATAAAATTATTTATAATCTTTTGGTATCTGTACAAGAACTGTCTTGACAACTCTGTGTATTATATTCTTGTTACAGGGGAGAAACATGTGATGTGGACAAAGAAATGGGCATTCTTGTAGATTTTGCTGCTAAGAACAATGTTGTACAGCTTAAGAGTTTTAAAGAAACTCTGCGAGCCCTTACAAGTCCTGCTGCACTAAAACCTTTTATAATCCTTTTCACATACTTCGGGATCTATCAGTTCTCTGGGGTTAATCCGGTTACCTTCTATGCAGTTCAAGTCTTTCAGGTATGGATATTATTTGTTCAAATGGACAACTGTAGTGAACACTTATAATTTTTTTGCATTAGGGACATCTCCGCTTTGTTAGAATTAGCTATCTTACATCAAGTTTAAATTTTCAACACACTCTGCTACAAGCAGCTGTTTAACATGTTCATTTCAGGTCATGAGTTCTTGCCTGATACATCATATTTCACTACTCATATTCATACTCTTAACTAATTCACTTCTACAGGGTCTCTGCAGTTTCTATAGAATCAATCAGTTAAACAACAGCATGCTTAAAATAAGTACGGGAATTCAAATTCTCAACCCCATTCAACCCCAGTCCAACCATAACTGACCATTCTCCTTTATCTTCCATATACTGTTTCCCTCTTTCACTCTTAACAGCGGAAAACTGCACAAAAATAATATCAGACTTTGCATGTTTAAAATATATTGTTAATTTTAGTATTCAAATTATGCAGTAGGCTTCCTATAACTACAGTAGTTGAAAAGGTTTATACCAAAGTTCATTTTTACAGCAGTTTACCTATTCTTTTAGGAATCTGGAGCTGAGATGAACAAATATTTGGCAACAGTGATCTTGGGCATTGTGCGGCTATTGTCTACCATTGCTGCTTGTATCTCCCTCCGCACATGTGGTAGAAGGCCACTTACTCTAATATCAGGTATTTATATGTCTACATTCTGTACCTGATCAATAAAAACAAATACAAGCAGAAGAGTATGGTCTTCTGGGTTATAGTATAGGGTAGTTCACAGACAAGGCTTTGTATGACTTTTTTTTAACTTTGGTCTTACAGCTATTGGCTGTGGACTGACAATGATTGGACTTGGTTCCTACATGTATGTAAGGGAAGGCTGGGTGGCAGAAGGTGTGCAACCAACAGCAACATGGATTCCTGTGGCGTGCATCTTTATTTTCACAGTTGCCTCTACACTTGGCTATCTGGTTGTGCCATGGGTCATGATTGGTGAAGTCTATCCTACACAGGTAAAATATTTTACTAGTACTCATATATTTACCTTGCATTTGACACTGATATGAAAAATGAGTTGTGAAACGTTTTTGACGATATCTGATGTAGAAGCAATCATAAAAGTTTTAGTTAAAAATAATCTTTCTGAATCTTATCAGTCACAGTTCATATATTTATGTAACATTTTAAACATTCATTATCGTATGAGGCTACGTTCTCTCAAGATATAAATAATCCACATAACTATGAAATTAAATTCTCTCTCAGTGTAAGCAGAATTAGCATCTGTTTTTAAAACTGTACTGATGTCACTTTCACCTTAGTAGAGCTTCAACTTGCGTATATTTTATGCAAACACTGATCTATTTATTCTTAACATTGAAGTTAAATAATGAGCTCTGAATCCCTCACAGATTATAATGTAAAATATTTAAGAAAAGAGCCTCTTTGCAGAGTAATTTTTTTCTTCAGCTTAAAGATCTCCTGTGTGCAAATAATATCACCAACTTATATGTAATTTAAAGATACTATATAAAATACATCACAAATGTTATTTGAACTTATACTGCACAATTAAATAGAAAAAATGGAGTTTTACTGATATACATCAAATAATTTATGCTCATAATTTGTGTTCCCTTTCCATACATCTGATACAGTTTTACAACTTGTCCTCTTAGTAATATATTGATGCTTATTTGATAAAAAAAGTGTACACTGAAGACAAAGCTACAAATTACAAATGAATATTTTGTGTTGCTGTTCATTGTCACTAATATTAGTCAATGAGGCATTACTTTCAATTCTCTGTGCATTTATTTATGACTGTCATTATATCACTGAAAATTTCACTGTATAGAAAACATATCAGGATATATTATTTCAGTTCTCCTTTACACGTTTTCTCTGGTATGTGTTTCACGCATCCCCTATTATTAAATTGTATATTTGTTGATCCAAGTTCCTTCTTTGATAAACTAAGAATATTTCAGACAAAGAGATTTAAAAGTTAAATTGCATTGGCTCTCTGATACTGGATAAAATTATGACAAATTAGCATACAAGATTTTTTTTGCAGGTGCGTGGAATTATAGGTGGCCTGACAACCTGCTCAGCCCATCTGTTTGTGTTCATGGTAGTGAAGACATTCCCTCTAATACAGCATATAGCCAGCAACCATGGATCTTTCTGGATCTATGGTAGCATCTCACTGTTAGGAACAATCTTCTTCTATTTATGCCTTCCTGAGACCAAGGGACGAACATTGCAAGAGATAGAGGACTACTTCTCAGGCCGAACAAAAACTCTTGGTGGCAAAGGAACTAAAACACTTCCTGGAAACAAGCCAAAGATCTTGGAAGCAGAGAAAGGGTCAATGCTTCCATAATTGCCTGTAAATACTCCAAGTCCAGCTCTATGGTGCTAGTACAATAGACTGACTGTGAAACTAAATTCAATTTTGCAGTTAGGGTTGTCATACTAAAGTGCGATAACAGTGCTTAAGAACACTCAAAATATGATTTTAAAGCCCTAAATATTCAACAGAGAACAATTCTTCTTCCTGTTGTCACTGTTCAATAGTAAACATGAGAGAAAAGGGATATTTGATATAGTTAATATTTATGAGACATAATTTCCTTGCTATATCAATAAGTTACAAAAATTTTCCTCAGTCCATAAATAATCAGCACAAACTTCTGTGTGGCACAGAGTGTCTAAAAGTAAAGAGAGGTGAGACCACAGTGTGTGCATTAAAATGTGTAAGGATTTTATTCCCATTGTAAATCCTACAAGTTCTCACATTTTACTTTAACATATATGACATTTCACAAAATATGAAGCAATAATTCACAGAACATTCAGTATTTAGAGAAGAATTACAATAACTTGTGTATCCAGCTGATGCACATGAAAGGAAGTTGAACAGTGATGAATTACACCACCTTAAAGGGACTACAGATTGAAACAAAATCAGGGTAGTGAATTGCAATAAGTAAACTGTTAATGAAGTCCTGAAATTGTAAATGGGTAACTAGAAGATATTCAGATATATTTTTTTCGTAGAACGAATAGTGACAATGTCCCTTTGTATGCTGTTAAAATTGTTTCATGTTAGGAATTGAGGAGATTAAAATAGTCTGCAGTGAGTGGCAACCCCAAGTACTAGTAACACTTCCTGTTAAGACTGACAATATTAATACAATACTAATTCACATGTAGCTTACATGAGATCCACTGAGGATCTGTAGAAAAATACAAAGCCTTAACCTATTTGTGATATTTTATGTAGGTTAATTTCTATGCGTTATGAAACTCTTTGACTGATATCATTAATAGGTAGCAATAAATTGTACAAGATATTAAGTTAGGTTATATATTTCATGTGGACTCAGTGGTAATGCAAATGCAATACCATAAAAATAATTTAGTAGTATTGAAAAATGTTGTATGTTACTTAAGTTTGTGAAAGATGTGAAGCCATGTTTAAGATATTCGTATGTGATAATATATCCTGTACTTTACATATTTTTTATATAGGATGAAAAGTATTTCTCTATTGTTGGACCTACTGAAATTACAGTATTAATGGCTGCTGTATACCATGTCTTTTTTTTAACAACTTGAATTATCCTTTCCAAACCATGCCATGGATAAGAGCTGCTTGTGCAATTTGGTTAAGTCTGGTATATCATAACATTCTCAGAGAGACTGTGTGTTTATGAGAGAACATTTTATTTTGTAGGAGAAATGTTATGACTTATTCTGTGTATTAGCGCTGTAACTCCCAATTCGCATGATTGAAAAGCAACTAGTATTTAGTTCAAAGATGGCAACATAGATTTAATTAAATTGGTACTGCTTACAACCAGCAAGCAGGGCACCTCCACTCCCTTTGACCTTGATGATGCAGTATATTCCTCTGTCAGTGAATTTATATCTGACTATAAAGCATCACATTCCAGAAGACTCTTTACTTAAATTTAGTCTCAAATGAGACATTTATTCAAAACAGAAAGTAAAGAAAAGAGAGTTTTGGAAAAGGTACACTGCAAATGCAGATCATATTTTACATGGAAGATAGTAATAGCAAGAGGAAAGATATATCACATATCTTGCAGTTATAACTACAGAAGAATGGCATCATTGCTATAATGGCGTATGAAATGATACTGTGAAGAAATTTCTACAAGAAACAGAATACTTGTCTTTGAGAGCCGGTACAGATGAAGTAGGCCATTATGAATTACAAAGAACCATGTGAGGGAGCAGGGGGGGGATAAGGCAATTGGAAAAAATGGAATTTATATGGAACTTTAAAAACTTACCACTGATAACAGAAGAAATATTTCTTAAGAGCTGCACAGTCAGTGAGGAAAATGAATAGCATCCCACAGGGCCGGATGAAAGTGGTAATAAAGCCTATATTTAATAAACATGACTGGCATGAACATGAGAGAGAACGGTGGAAGGAACGGTGAAACTAATACATATAAAGAAAACCAAGCCAAGAAGTTCTTCATTGTAATAGGAGGAAAAGGAGACCACCAGTAAGAAATAATGATTTTTTATGGGTATAGAATCTGAACCAAGCAAGTCACTATGAAATATACGTACACAAGCCAAAGACAACTTTGTTATTACTCACCAAAATATCAGAGGTCATGCAAACAAAACTGATAACTGAATTGTTCATCAGTAACAAGAAACTTAAGCCCTCACGTAATATGCCTCTCTGAATATCATATGACGGATCTCAAATTATCGTATAGCAGTATGCAGAACTATCTACTAGGAGTGAGTTATGCTCGTAAATTTCATCAAGGTGAAGGGGTTTGTATATATATTAGGCAGGCTGTTAAATTTGTTGCTATAGATCTGGCCCAGTTTTGTGATGAAAAGAATTTGGAAATATGTGCGCTTAAGATCATGATAGTGAAACAAAAGTTACTAATGATATGTGTATATAGGTCACCTACTGGAAATTTTGATTACTTTATAAACAAGCTTGAAAAAGTACTAAAATTCCTACATAGAATAAAAACCGAATTTATAATATGTGGTGATTTTAATGTAAATTTTCTAAATGATACAGTACATAAGACAAAGTTACTGTTACAGTCTTTTAATCTTTTTAACACTGTGCAGTTTCCAACAAGAATAACTGAGAGCAGTAGCTCTCTAATAGATAATATTTTTATTGATAATATAAGGAGAAATTCATATGATGTGTCAATTGCCAATGGTTTGTCAGATCACTATGCACAATGTCTTATACTGAAGAATATCAGCAGTCTGCACATGCATAAGGTTCTTGGAACTACAATTAGAATTGTAAACAAAGATTCAATAGCACAATTTCAAGAAAAAATTGGAAATGAAAGTTGGGAAAATATTTATCAATCAAATTAAGTCAATGAAGCATATAATTCTTTTCTAAATAAGTATTTGCTTATTTATGAATCATGTTTTCTCAAGCAAAATGTAATTAAGAAAGATAAATGATAATGGATGGATAACAGTGGGAATATGCACCTCCTGTAAACATAAAGAATTCCTGTATACTCTTAGTGAAAATAATGATAATCTACTGAAATCTTATTATAAAGCCTACTGTAGGATACTAAGAAGAGTAATAAGAGAAGCGAAGAGATTAAACTATAATCGACTAATTGTATCAGCTGAGGATAGGATAGAAACAACATGGAGCATTATTGATAGGGAAACGGGGTGGAAGAATAAAAACAGCAAAGATACTTTACCTAAATCATATCAACTCAATACTGTAAAAGTAAATACTGATGGAGCAGCCCATAGTTTCAATAAATATTTTTCATCAACAACAGAAAATCTCAATTAAAGAAAACTAACTCACATGCAGCAATGAAATATTTGTATACTTTTTGTCTAAATGGTTTCCCTGCTATGAACTTAATTTAGTCACTGAAGACGAGATACTTAGTGCGATTAATAAGCTCAAATCCAAAAACTCTTCAGAATATGATGGTATAACTAACAAATTAATAAAACTGTGTAGACAACAAATAAGTAAACCTTTAGTATATATAATTAATAACTCAATAACAATGGGCGTATATCCTGAGAGACTCAAATATGCAGTGATTAATCCGATACATAAAAAAGGAGACAAAACTAGTATACATAATTATAGACCAATATCAATAATAACTGGATTTGCTAAAGTATTTGAAATGGTAATTTATAGAAGGCTCAATGATCATATTACAACACACAAAATATTACTCCCCCACCAGTTTGGATTCAAAAGGGACTGTCTACTGAAGAGGCTATTTATAAATTAACTAATGAAATATTTACTGCTTGAAACAGAAAAGAATATGCAGTTGGCATATTCGGCGATATAGCCAAGGCTTTCGACTGTGTTGATCACGAACTCCTGTTAATGAAACTCCAATATTATGGAGTTCAGGGCTCCTTCTTGCAATGGTTTAAATCATACTTTCAATATAGGAAACAAAGGGTTGAACTAAAGGATACAAAAAACAAATATTACTCTGATTGGGACCTAGTCCGTTCAGGAGTGCCTCAGGGCTCGGTACTAGGACCTCTGCTAATTAATATTTACATCAATGATTTTCCCCTCGAAATAAGTAAAACCTCAGAAGACATAATATTTGCAGATGACACAAGCATCCTTTGTACATCCAAAGATTTCAACAATCTAAAAATAAAACTGGATACTGTTTGTAGTCACATGAGTAGATGCTTTCAGGCCAATCTTCTTGCATTAAATTTTGACAAAACTAAAATGATAAAATTTACGCCAACAGTAGCTACTGATTATCACCTAAATACTTTGCTTCTTAATACAACATTGAAAACAGCTGAATCGACAACTTTTTTGGGTTTGCAGCTTGATAATCATCTGACTTGCAAAGCACATGTGTATATACAAGCATATATAATACCTTAAAATCTGTATACTATGCATATTATCACTCTTTAGTGAACTATGGAATAATATACTGGGGTAATACTCCTGATTGTCATAAGGTTTTTCTTATGCAAAAGAAAATGATAAGAATAATGATGGGAGTGGGACCAATCCACACTTGTCATGACCTATTTAAAAAGCTTGAAATATTGCCAATTCCTGTGTATACTTCCTTTCACTTATGACATATGTTGTGAACAACTACGATAAGTTTTTGAAAAATAACTCTATATATACGATTGGTACTAGGAAAAAAGATCACCTTCATGTACCTGATTCTCATTTATCATATTATCAGAGAGGTGTATATTACTCAGGTATCAAGCTATTTAATGTATTATCTAACAGTATTGCAATTTTGAGAACAGACAAAAATCAATTTAGGAAGGCTTTACTAAGATATCTGCTGAGAAATTCCGTTTACTCTATTGATGAATTTATAGAGCATACAAGAGTTACAAAGATAGAGGGTAAATAAATCTTCTTCTGTGGCGCTACAGCCCCAATTTGGGCCTAGGCCTACCTCCATGAAACTCTCCGTTTCACTTCGGTTTACTAGATCTTACACATGCGGTAGGACTCCTTGGGCGATTGATCAGCTCGTCACAAGGCCTCTACCTGTAGACAAACACAGAAAACACACACAAACATCCATGCCCTGAGTGGGATTCGAACCCACGATCCCGGCTTCCGAGCGAGTGAAGACAGTGCATGCCTTAGACCGCTCGGCTACCGTGACCGGCCAGGGTAAATAAATAGTATGAGTAAACATATTGTAAGTTACTCCCTTTCGTTGGATTTAATAGTGGCTGTACTGATTAATTTAACACTTGACAATTCTAGTCAGTTAAGGCTCAGAATGGACTTAACATGTATTTTTCTAAATGGGAAAATTGGACTGACAATGTGTGCTCTTTGCATGAGGCTCTATTTACCTTATATATATTTTAATACATTATATCTTAAATTTTATGTTATATTTAATATTGTATATTTATTTATTGCATGTGATCTTTTATATAAGACTTTGTA